TCTTCTTGGAACAACATCCCGTGGTTGAAGAAGCCAATTCCCTGCTGGTGACATGTGGGCACCAATGATAATTGCCAGAGGTGACCCTGACCAAACCAAGAGTGACAACAGGGCTCTGGGTGCAAGGTGGGGAGGGAACTGGACCAATCTGTTCTCCATATCTTCTCCGGACAAACCCTTACAGAACCACAATTGCATCAGTGCTTTCCAGGATCCCTGAAGCATCTTCCCATAGTAGCCAGCACTCATACTAGGACCGGAGGCTGATTTAACATCACAGGAAACACTGCATCATGGGGTGGAAGTAGGAGGACTGACTCAGTGCAGCCACATCCTAGGTGGTCTTTCATCTGCATGGTGAAGAAAGCAGGCATTGCAAATTTACCGGGTTTGCAGGAACAAGCGCCTTTAAAGTGTCAGCACTACAGCCACGTTTGCCCTGAGGACACACATCAGTCGCATTAGAAAATGGCCTAATTGACGTGACGTCAACCCTCACTCGGCACCTGGAGGAAACCAGGAAAAACACAAAGCTGAAAACCACTAGCTGGTTCATGCTTATTACAGCCAGCTAATGTTTTTAAACATCACCATCCTGCATACCGAGGGCACGTTCTTATTCAGCATCAAGTTATCCAGAGCCTTTTCTAACATGATGTATTTTCCCACAATGGACGAGACCCATCTGGTTTAGTGAATGTTGGTAAGAAACCTCGGACAGCTGTTTTCGGAGGATAGAAGGGCTTGCGTATGTGCTGGATGCTAAAGCATTCAACCAGTGGCTCTTGCCTACGTCTCACTCCTCCAGAAATCCTGTAGCATTCTTGATGAACAGGTGGTCTTGTTCACTACGGCAGGCCTACATCTTTGTAGGATTAATCATTACATAGTCACATTTTCATTTACTGCTCCTGTTCCAAATGGTATGAATTATTTCCAGTCTGTAAAAATGTGACAGTAGCATAGTAACTGGCATCATTAAAGGCCATACAAAGTTACTTGCATTATAAAATCTTTGGGGCAGGGACTACCCATTTATTTTGTTTGTACAGTACTGCACTCCTGTACTGCACAAAAATAATATCATAGATAGTACCCACAGCTTTGTTTCGTTTATTCATGTGACTTATACGCTGTACTTCACAAGGCTTTATTCATTAGACTTCAGTTTCTCGATCCATATTTCCCCTTCTTGCAGAATTGTGCCCTTGTCTGCAAGAGTCTCAAATGATTCAAGTCTCGAGGTCAGGGGCGCAGAAGAAATGACATGGAGTTAGCTATCCCCTTCCTCTTAGATATACAGAATTCAAGTGAACTGAACCAAACCAGCATATTACGGGTTGTGATGGGCTAACGGTGAACTTCAAATTCAGCCCTGGGCTTTCCTAAGGTTCCTGGGCCAGTCAGATCCAGGATTTGGTGTTCAGGTCCAAGTTTAATGACTGATCTAACTCGCAACTTCTGTCTAATGTTTCATATGGTGACATTTTATGGCTGAAATGAGTCCTTGGCAGGCTTGTGTACCCAGGATTAAAACTTGTCCTGAAAACCGAAGCCCTTTCCTGGCAGCCAGGAGAGAAGCACCTGGGACTTGGTTACATTCTAATTCATAATAAAAATCCTCCAAGCCATGCATTTTTATCTGTCTTGAATTTTCCTTTAAAATAAGGCATTCTTACAGGCACAAATGTAATAGCTATTGGACAGAAATACCCTGTAGTTGGAAGCAAAATGAACGCCCTCTCACACGTCAGGCCTGTGAACTATCTGAATGTCTCTGTTTGTCACTTAAACTTCTCCCCAAGCATCTTTGTGAAATGCAAGAAAAATGCTTAGATACTGGCAATAACCAAGGGGACGACACTGCAAGAAAACAAACAAGTTAATGGCATTTTTAACAACATTTTCCCCAAAGAGGACGGTTGCCTCCTCTGCCGGGCATGAGAACAAGAATGCAAGTGGATCAGTGCAACGCAAACTGGATATTTTGGTCTCTCATGAACGTTTACAGTAAGCGTATATCTAGGATTTTCATTTTTCAGCCCTTAGCTTACCTCTTAGGATAATCAGATACAGGCCTGGTATCTCGGACACTGAAGCTGTGTCTATCAAAGTCCATAGCAAAGCTCCCACTGTCTTTAATGATGTAGCATCAGTCCCTGAATGCTTGCAAAGTCCTTAGTGGTTTCTTTGGTCTCTGCCCCATATTCCTGTTGCTCTTACTTCCCTGGCCTCGTTTTAACACATGTGGTAGTGCGTGCCAAAGTTCCTAAATTGCAAAAAATAATGGACAGTAAGCCCTTTGGAGAGCGGACTGTCATGTACTACAGATCTGTTCATTGCTTGCCACACTGGGGCCCTGCAATTGCTACAACAATAAAAAACCATTTAATAAAAATCATTAATAACTAAATCTGGGTCAATTCACTTTGCCAGATTTCATGTTCCTCCGGCAAAGCCAACATGATGTTGGCAAGCCTGTGAGCCTTCTCGAATGCTTTTCAGAAGTTTGATCGTTAAAGTCGCTACTGTTGGAGTTCAGATCTAGCAATAATGCAGGCTACACAGTCTAGGTGCGAACGGCAGCTTTCTAACGTCAGGTTTGTTGCTGGAGCATCTGTCAGAAACTGTTTGGATTCTGCTCAGTCGGTTATTCTTCCATCTCATTCTCCTTCCCGAAATGGAGCCTCAAAGTCCATTTAAAAAAATGACACAGGTGGTTTTGTATTTTTATTCATTATAATAATCGTTTCCAACTGGCTCCTTCCTTTCTGAGGAATGTTGCGTATAATTTGTGCTAGGCAGCTTTATTATTCATACAATTTGGGCTAATTTCTCGAAAAGGGAGCGTGTCTCATGCAACGTGGCTTTGTCTTAGGCAGAGCGAGGGAGCTCCCTGGTACATCATGGACTTTCATGTTTATTGCTGCATTTTTAAGGAAAAAAAAATAGTCTTCATCAGGAGAGTCTCACAGCTAGTTGTTAAGTCAGGGGCAAATGATGTTCTTGGGCAAAATAAATCAAATGAGGTCCATTAAAAGGCTGCTCTACCTTTTTTTTTAATGGTTAATGAAAGACCCTAGGCAAATTCAGCTCTCATTAGTAACAATCGAATGTAAATCGGGCACATTAATCAGGGCCCTGTACTGCGTGTTACAAAAGATTAGGTAGAGCAATCCACCCAATTAAATCGTCTCGCAACCAATGGGGAGACATTGGAAAAGATGGGCTGGCAGTTCAGACATCACAGTTGATTACATGTGTTTGAAAGATTCAGTACTGAATGAAGTGGGGGAAAAGGCCATGGCATTAAAATAGCAGCATCACTGAGATCCCATATTAAAATAATTTTCTGACTGTGTCGCTTGAGATTTCACAAAGGCCCTTGTATGGGGCAGCTGATAGAAATTTAATTATGAAACAGGTTGATGTAAAGCATTGTGTTCTCAACTACCAAACTGGCTTGGAGCCCTTTGGCAATTTAGACCAGGTAAGAAATTAAATCCATGAAAGCAACAGAACAGCCCTGAGCATGTCAGAAATAAAGACAGTGGACCTGATCCTGTGGAGCGCCAAAATGCCCAGGATCAAACCCATCTGTGGGAGATGGCTGTTCTTCTTTCTAGCCTACAGGATGTTGAAGTCTAAGCAAAGAGCTGGATACGCACTGGGCTTCACCCACTAAAGCGCTTGGGCTGATTTCTGGCAGGAGGTCCTGCCTCCTGCCTCAAGTGTTTGGTTTAGGTCCTAGTTCTGCAGGCCTGGAGGATTCGTTTTTATTGTTCATTGGAGATATTTGAATGTTTTAAAGCAAGTTGGGGGGACGAGGCAGAAAACTAAGAGCTTGAAAACGTTTGCATAAACAGCCAGCAATGTGCTTCTCATCTGACGTTTCCAAGAAGCTTCTTCTTTTTTTTTTTTTCTTTAATCTCCCTCTGTTTTAATTTCTCCCACATTTTGATGTTTTTTCATTTAATATCCTATTTGGTTTGGATCATGTGGGAAATGGAGCATGACGAGGCCCAGCATGCGCTGAGTAAGAAACCTCTGGAGCAGGAGGGAAGCGCCTGTCCCGTTCAACCATGGCCCGAATGCTCGCCTCCACAACGCCGTGTCGGGAGGACGCTGCAGAACTGCCTGGAGCCGTCTGCGGCTTTCCTGGCAGTGACCTCAGGGGAACAAGGGAAGCTGCCTGTCCCACTCCCCTCATGGGCACGACCGCAGCGTGAGACTGAGTTCCTGTTGAGTCTAACGGGCGCCTGTTTGCTTAACCACCTTTGGATCAGGGGCTCCGCTGGGCACGGCAGGTTGCTTCTCTCCTGTACATCAGCAGCCTGCTCCAGGGGTGAAAGAGAGCATGTTGGGACAGCGCAGTTCAATACTGCATGCCCGTGTGTTCAACAGGCTGCATAATTTGCCATGCATTCAAGCCAGGGGATGGAGCGTGCAACATGATCACTTTGCTGCATTAGCTCCGCACCTCAGGCCAGCCCTAGGCTCCAGGGCTGGTATGCCTTATTCCCTCGCCACGCCTAGACACCCCAGAGCAAAATGAGCATGCCAGTAAGAACAGAGCATCGCTGGTATTCCTGTGCCTAGGTTCGGGGGTTTGTCCCCCGTCCCACGTGTGGCTGGAAGCAGTCTGTAGCATAGACTTGGCCTTATTCTATATGAATCGCCAGCAGGAGCAAGAACTCAACCCTGGTGGCTCATGGACTCAAGCATCAGTACTTCGGCTTGCAGCACTGCACCTATTGATGCTGTCTGCTGTAGGGTCTTGAGAGAGGATGATGATGAGAGTAGACTAGATTTTAGTGGAAGAATATCCCTACACACCTGTAACTCCATCCAAAAGCAGTCTCCAAATGCCGTGCTTTAACCGTGCACGGACAGCTCTCCAAATTAATTCGGACTAGATATCTGTGCTCTGCTGCATTGATGTGCCTCCTCTTTGCCGTTAACATTAAGTGGTTTGTTCTCTCTGTTTTTGTGTTTTTCAGGACCTGCAGTAAGTACCGTGGATTTTACACTTGGGTCAACAAAGTTAAGACACTTTTTTTTTTTTTTTTTCCCCCACCCCTTTTTTCTGTGTCATTTCTCAAAAACAGCTTTTTCTGTTGGACGTGTGTCTGGAAGGAAAATTGGTCCCAGATGCTGCTGCTTTTCCCCCTGATTGTAGGCAAATAGCTTTAAAAAAAAACCCCCACAGCTTTAAAAATGCCTAACTTGCTGCCCTAAGGGGCTTGCAGTCGTTTTGAACTCGGCCAATATTCAGTAAAAATACCGTTTGCTTTTAAAGGGTTGTTTGGTCAGTCTCCTTTTAAGGAAAAATGTAAGTGCCATGATAATGTATTAGCATGGTGATGTTTTTAATTCTAAACTAGTCTCATTTCTCCCATCCATTATGTCTCACTCGGTTAATACTGAGTATAATTAATGACATTGTTAGCCCCACAAGGTTGTGATTGTCCAGAAAAAAAAGTGTAGCTTTCTTCTTTCTCTCTCGGTCTATTTGAAGAGCAATTAACTTTGCTGTTTGTGCGACCACCGAGCCTCTATAGTGAATGCATTGTATGAAGGACAGGTTAAATGTGTGTTAATTTATCTTGTCAAGAAGACTTTCAAACATGTCTGTTCTGTCCCTTCGCTACAAAATCTGCTTTGCTCTCCCATTGTTCTTGGGGTGAGAAGGCACAGGTATTGTGGGAGGGATTTTCAAAGGAACCTGTAGGAATTAGGCACCCACCGTCCATTGAATTTTTTCCCCCAAAATGTGGACAAAAGGTAGGCAGTGAAAGCCTTCAGCAGCTCTTTGACAATCCTTCCCTGTACACTTCCAAACTGCCCATGCTTTCTGAATAAGCATTTTAATGTCATAGACAATCTTCTTCAAATACCATTTCCTTCCTACTAAGCCTCAGTGAGGTGGGGAGGATGTTATTTCAGTAAACTCTGAAATTCATTTGTGAACCTGTTGTTTTTTTTTCTGGTTTTTTTTGGCTGTCCAAGTCTCTCTGCCTCTCTGTCTCTCTCCCTCCACCCACTTTCTCTTCTGTTTGAAGCCCTACGCCGTTGATGAAATACAAGTTAAACGTTTGGCTTGTAAGACCAGCAATTTCGCTCTCTGTGGGTTTTGACAGCATTTTGTGTTTGAGTTGTAGTTAATAGGCATTTAGACCCCTTGAAGTTTTATTTGTCCGTCATGTTTATTTTTGAACCTGAGAAGTTTAAAAGAGGAAATCTGGCAAACTTGCCATTTGGTCTAGCTTCCAGCGGGAACCGCACCAAAACAGAAAGAGTAATGGTTTTGGCCAAACCTGTCCTGAAGAGAGGCCTCAAACCTAGTCCAAGCTCATATTTTGTTATAAATTGTATGCAACAGGAGCAATGGCTGGATCCAGGCATGCAGGCACGTGTGGCTCGTGGCACTACAAACGTCTTTGCAGCACCGCAAAACACATGCCTGGCACATGAAAACGTGCCCTGTGCTGCAGATTTTTTTTGGGGGGGTGGGGGGTAAAATTTGCTTCCAGAAAATCTCAGTAGCACAACCCCCCCCATCCCCACCCCCCCCAAAAGCCGTGAAAAAAGCAGCACGGTGCACATTACAGGAGCGTGCGTCTGCAGATATGGAGGCTTGGTCCTTCAGGGACACGCGAGTCTCTCCCCTCCTTCAGCTCCACCCTGGCTCCTCCAGCATGCCAGGAGCTGGGAGAAGTGGGGGAAAGGCAGTTTGCCCAAAGCAAGACATTTTGCCCCAGACCAAAGCACACGTGCAGACGTGTACGCAGCAGCAAAAAGTAGCAGCCAAATTTGTGTTGCTACTAGTTGTGTTGCTGTGAGCGCATGCCCTTGCATGTGGAGACACACCCAATCCCAATAAATGTAGGACTTTGTTCTGGGGGAAGCCCAAACACAAGAATTTCCCTTTTTAGTCTGTATTTAAAAGTGTAGTCTATCAGGGGAATTGTTTTTCTATAAATATTCACTAGTTAAAAACTGCCAAGCAGTCCCTTTTTCTCCACCATAAACTGAGTATGTGGGTCTCGCTAATATAACGAAAGGGGCATTTATTAGGGAAAAACAATTTAAAATCAAGTGACTTCCAGATTACTTGGCGCTGAGCATAGTTGGATATTGGCTCCTGAGCCTCCCTGCCATGCACAAAAGTAGTCTATGTTTTTGCTTCTTCAGCAAGATCTTTATATACACTACTCAAACCGAGCTAAGCCATAAGGCTTCATATTAAAGACATTCTACACTGGATTTATACCAGTGTCACTGAGAGTAGAATTTAATTCATGGAGCTTTGTATGGTAACTTTGGCATGATCCTTGCAGTGACTAAAGGTGCCCTGTTGATGAAACTTTTGTTGTGCAATAGAAATAGATGGATATTTTCAAATAAGATTTAAATTCAGAATATGGGACTCTTAAATTTTTACTGGAAAGAAAAATGATGCTATTTGCTTAAAACTCAATATTATATATATTCTCTCTCTATATTCTCCATATGTGTTTTCATTCTCTCGCTCTCTGTCTCTCTCTCTCTCTCTCTCTCTCTCTCTCTGGATAGATGGATAGATATAATAGCATATATATCATGTAGCACACAGTGAAATCTGAGATTCTCGTTTGGCAATCAAAGGAAATGAAACAATTATTGACAAAAAGAAAAAGTAATGCTGTGCATAGGCTGTTCAAGCTGAACTGGGTTAATAAAAAGTAACATACAGCACACAGTGAAATCTGAGGTTCTCATTTGGTAATCGGAGGCAGGCACGCAAAATGCTGGGCCCACACAAAACAAGAACCTGTATGAATGAAGTGGCCAGTGGTAATAATTTCAGATATTACAAGCAACAGACATGGGTAGATAGATGTTTTTTAAACGCGTGTGTGTGTACATACTACATATATACATGTTTAAAAAGGCATACACACAAATCGTGTATATATGTGTATGTATATATGTATGTATACATATGATCTGTGTATATATTTTATGTATATGTACACATGTGCATACTATATATGCATACTAAAAAGACGCACATCATTCATATATATGTATTTAGCGTGTATGTACATATAGTATGTACATGTGTATATACATGTGTACATATATACACAGATATGTATACATACACACACATAAGATTTGTGTGTATGCCTTTTAAACACGTGTGTGTGTGTGTGTATACATATATATATATCTATAGATAGATGTGTATGTGTATATGGCAATGTGTATAAACACACACACGCACACGTTTAAAAGACATCTATCTACCCATGTCTGTTTGTAATATCTGAAATTAGTACCACTGACCACTTCATTCAAACAGGTTCTCATTTTGTATGTGGGCCCAGCATTTTGTGTGCCTGCCTCCGATTACCAAATGAGAACCTCAGATTTCACTGTGTGCTGTATGTTACTTTTTATTAACCCAGTTCAGCTTGAACAGCCTATGCACAGCATTACTTTTTCTTTTTGTCAATAGTCAAGTTTCATTTCCTGGTTCCCACGCACTGTTGAATTTCAAATGCTGCACAGGGGAGATTTCATACACAAACAAGGCTGGTTTCTCTCACCCCCTCCTCCTTTTTAGCAAAATGTCTAACACATTTTATTTTTTAAAGCACTTATAACAAACCCTAAATTTGTGGCCTAAACAGCCCTTGACAGAGACCCTTTAAACTCTAAAAAGATGTCCCAAAACCCACAGAATCACAATATTAGTTTATTAATATTAGTTTAAACAGTATTGCATTTAGGTCTATTAATTTCTTCTGTTTCTTAATTGTTACCCCCATTTTCTCTCTCTTGTCCATAAGGAATTGATTACATCCTATATATATGGCATCGTATTAAGTTGAAAATGTATCCTCAATTATGCTGGCCTTCTGGTGCAGTAGTCCTTCTGGTGTTTTATTTTTTGGCTGTCTTAAATTAGTTGCATATATGTATTATTAGAATCTGTGGTATGGTATTTATGGCTGTTAGATGATTGATCATTCTGCCTGCAGAATAAGGAATGTGCTATTCAAATATGCCATAAAGCCTCTGTTTCAGAGGATATTAAAATCACATGCTGAGTAGGAAATTTCTGCAACCTGAAGGATAGATTTACCATATGCTATAATTAAATATTTACCATACCAACTATTAACAAACATTATATATTAAGGGAGAGACCATGGAAGCCTACCAATCAATGAAGGTTATGAATGACAAGCATTTTTTCTTGATATATTTTGTTGGGCATAAGTCTTCATGAGAGTCTTTCTGCATATGTTATCCTAAGGTGTTTGTTTTGTTAAAAAGGTTGCCATTGCTTTGCAATTAATGTCTTATTTCTGGATGAACGTAAATACCGTAAAATGTGTGTTGACGGCTGTAGTGTCACGTTAACAAAAGTAGAAGCCTCTTGTATTTCGTGTTGAAAGATGGGTGTTTTCCATTAGAACCACGGGCGTAGTAAGACACATGCGGGTGTAGCTACCGCTGCATTGTGCCACCCTCCTGATGTCACATAGCAGCCCATGATATTGCCTCCTATCATCCTCATCTTCCTGTTTGTGAGCTATTGGATTTGTAAGAGCGCTGGCTTGAAATCTGTGCAATATTTTATTTAGAGCACTCCCCTCTGCAGCCACACGTATACATGCTCATACACCCGTTCCTGTGGGTAACGGCATATTGTGTCTAGGTGGAGATGCCCCTTGGAAACACAAGGGGAAGAGAAAACAGGGAAGTTCTTGGCCCGACCTTTCTCTTGCTCTCTGCTGTTGTTGCAGAGATGTTAAATCAGTCCTTTCCCATGGAAAACCAATGAGGGAAGGAGGTTGAGGAAAGGGGGGAAAAAAAGCACCAGTGAAGGTGAAGCTTGACTTTACCTGTGCTCCCTGCAGGGCAGGTCCAGGTTTGGCGGCTCTGATCCCATTGGTTTCCCTGCAGTCAGTGCCGCACTGGAGCTGCAAAGCCCTTCACTGGAACAGCGTCGTGATGCCAGGCCGCTTTCTCTCTTGAGCCTCCCTGCAGGAGGTGCCCCTAGCAAAGCAGGCTTAACCTGCCCTCAGTCCCACGGTGGCATCACTATTAGGACCTGGTGTGAGCCCTGCCCATCCACGTGCTGCCATTGATCTGCTTAATCCCGAGTTGCCCATTCCCATCTGGTGAGGAAAGCTCCCCTTCTAGCAGCTTGGACCCAGGGACGCTGAGTTCCTGTGCCCAGGCCGCTGAGTTGTCCACATTGCAATGTGCTGCTACGGTGCGGAGAGTACGACTGACTGACTTGTTCTTGTTATCTCGCTTGTTCACTCACCACAGGGGCAGTCTGGACGAGACGGTTATCCGGTAACGCTGCGAGTCTTTTTTTTTTTTTTAATTCTCTTCTAATCTGCACCTTGCATTTCACTCCACCTTTTCTGTCAAATGCTGCTCTTTGCCTCTCTTGGTTTTCTTTCCTTCCATGTCAGCTATGATAGCACTTAAGGGATTTCATCCTAGAACTTTAGAGCAGGTTGCATATTTACACCACTGGCGATGGGCTAAATCCTCACCTATGGTTTTAGGTAAGCCTTAGTCAGACACTGACCTTTCCCAGGAGTTTCTGGACAACACCCTGAAATTCACCCCAAGTTATTCATAATAGGAAAGGGCTGCTATGCATCTATGCACATGGTCCATGGGCACCTATACACATGCTCCGGGGGTGGGGTGGGTGCTTTAATTAAAGCAGCTCTGAGTCCCACTCTAATTAAAGTACCTGGAGCATCTTGTGTATGAGTGTCCCCACGTTTCAAAATAGTGGCAGGGGCACTTTAGCTAAAGGTCGTTGAGTGAGCTTTAGATAAAGTGCCCCCACTACCATTTTGAAGTGCGGGGATGCTGATACACAAGATGCAGGAGGCTGGTGCAGCACAGGACATGCCACACTCCAGCGGACTCGAGTCTGCTCCAACGTGCTGGAATCGCAGTGCATCCGAGCAGCCTCCACACTTGTATATAGGCACCCGGTGTGACTGTTGCTTGCTGCAAAGCTATTTGGCTTCAAGATGTAGGTCAGCACTTGTAACTCTAGTGCCTCTTGTTGTGAGCTCATTGCCAAGCAGTGTTGGGCTGGGTCAGTATTTGGAGAGAAGGACTGCTTGGGGAAAGGCTAGATGCTGGGATGAGGATGTAAGCGGCGCTGCACAGGGAAGTGCTGTTTTTCCGGTGCGACTTAAACGGACAAAATCCTGGCTTGTGGCCATTGCTGCAGTAGGAGAGGCATGACCTTCATTCTGGCCAAATCCCGAATGGTGGCCTTGCGTCTGCCTTTCTGATCCATGCAACCGTATTCATTTCAGCAGCCAAGGACTCAAACCTCAGCGATCAGCCTGTGGGCCCAGTCACTTAATGAAGCCACAATGCAAGTCTATTACTACAGTGCCCTGCTGCAGCAGCTGCAGGATAGGTTTTAGCCCAGGAAAGCATTTAGGCTTCCTCTTCCTGTAGCGGATGCCTTTAAAAAAATAAAATAAAAAGTGTTGGGAAAACGCATTCTCCCTTCTGCTCCTTCTTGTGCGCTGGCTCGATTCTAGTTGGTCTCCTGCAAGCTGCAGCAAAGTCGATTGTGTGATGGATGGACGGCTCAAGTGAAAGCGATTAAGAGGGAAATTAAAAGCTTTTCCACTTTTCATTTCCCCTGAACTTGTTTCAGCTTCCCCTGGGAGGAGATCAGAGATTCCCCAGGGACGCAGGCCTCCCAGATTGGGAAGTGCAGCCATGTGCTGATTTTGTACAACAAGTCTTTTATGCCATTACCTTGATAACTGGAAAGTATGTAGCTGCCTCACCAATTGGTTTTAATAAATTAAACTCAATATAAAACCCATCTGAAAGGAACGGTCGGGGGCCTGCGAGCTCCTTTGTAATAATTTATAGCAAATAAGACTGCTGACTGCAAGGGGAAATTACAGCTACTGTGCATGTAACCCATACCCACTCGGCACAGCCTTCTGTCTCCTCCTAGCGGGGTCGGCGGCATCCTAGAGGTTGAGAAGCAAGGTATGACCGGGGGTTGCAGGCCTGACCAGTTATTCAGGCAGTAGAGGCTGATGCTTTAAAATGCAGACCCCCAACACCCACCCCTGGCAGGCCAGTGGTCTCTCAAAACATTCAGTGTCTGCCCACGCAGTATCTTCCAGGCTCGGCATGCAGAATGGAGACAGCGGCTGGCTTCTGTTTGGGCTATTAAATGGAGGCCGTGGTGTATGTCATCCCACCGGCTTCCATCATGAGTGATTTGATACCGCAGTGATTTAGCTTGTCAGAGTTATACCTAAAAGGCAGGACTTCTCCCTTTTGATCCGTTCTGCCTCTACAGCTCAGATCATCTGCTGCAGATGCTCTGATTGGGTCTGTCCCTGCCCCCATATCAAGCCTCCAGCTTTTCCTGAGGATTTAGCACAGTGATTCTCAATGAGGGTGCAGTGGGCTGCCTTGAGATCCTTTCAAGGATGCCAACAATGCCAGGTGTCCAAGCCTGATCCACGTGATAAAACCCAGAGATTTCAAGTAGGAATCCCTAGTGTTAAAAAGCCTTCTAACCTGTCGTGGTCTTCCCAAGTTCTTTGCAACAGAAGAATTCATCTATTTATTTTTTCTGTCATCAAAAAATGAGTGAAAACTAAGAGCTGGCACTTTCCGGGGGGGGAATCTGTCTGGCAAGGGGCACCTCAAGAACTACGGAGTTGGTGGGCTGACTGCTGGTTCCCACCACTCCTTTGTATAGGATGGTTTCTCAGGGCTGCATGAACTCAGTGTTTGCAGGCGTGAGAGGATTCAGCATCTGAGCCCGTCCTAGCTTTTCCAGTGGCAACTGGGTCCTAGTCATATCCTGAAGATAACAGAAGCTTGGGACCTACTTCGTGCATCTTCAGGGCAAAGGTGACTTAGATCCACTCAGAAAGACTGACTGACACCCCATCCCACCTGCCTTGTAGCGTAGAACAGATGGCCTGGTTTTCCTTCCCAACCTGCCTCCCCCAAGCAAGGGACCTTTGTAACAACTGGGGAGAACTGGTGACTCCAGAACAAAGGTCTGTATGAAGCGGGGTAGATGCTTGCAGTGGAGGTGGCGCCCAACTGGGAGCCAGCTGAACAAGGGAAGCGGCAGGGAGGCAGAAGTGGCTTATCAGAAGCTGAGAATTGTCATTTATTCCAGATGAAGCAGAAAGGTTGGGCCATCTGGTACCCCTGCTTGCTCCAGGAGGGTGTGACTAAGCACATGAGTTAGTGCTGCCTGTTCTTGTCCTCCCAGCCCACACTTAGCCAGGCCCAGCACTATTTCAGTGATGGATTCCTGGAACCCGAAAATACCAATAGGAAAGAATTACTTTTGTGATGGAGGGCCTACCCTGAGTAAGAGCTCTGGAGCACGCTCGCTGCTCGCAGTTCCTACTTGGTCCCCAGTCACTTCAGCTCTCTGGGCCAAAGGGAAGCAATCAAGATCCACCTTCTCCTCTCCTTTGCCCTGCAGCAGGGAGGAAAGGCTTCCAGCAGCACCCTGAAAGCTGCTCTTTGCCTGTCGGGCAGGACCTGCCAGCGAGGCTGGCCACATCTGCAACCCAAACCCACAGTAGCATGGCACTAGATCGCTGCCTCTCAACAGCAAGGCAAAGAGAATTCCTTCCCTGCAGTGGACAGTGGTTTTTGCAGAGACAAGGAATCAAATAGAAACAAGGCAGTCATGAACGTCTCATGGGGTGAATGCCCAGAGCGGGATTCTGCATCCTGCTGCCTTGTGAAGCTTCCCCAAGTATTGTAGAGATTTCAGTTTGGGATGATCAAAAATAACTTCAGAGCAGGCGTGCGTTGGGGAGGGGGGTTGTGCTGCCCGTCCTGCCGCGGCTGATGCTGTTGCTCACCCACATGTTATGTAAACAAGAGGTTAGTTAGGCGGCTGCTTTCCTTTCGGTCCTCTGGTTGTCCCATGCTGCGCCTGGTGACATGAATTCGCATGCTGTCTCTGGAGTAGATTAGCACTGTGTCAGGATGCCCCGAAATGAATTGATTGTATACAGATGGAAAACACTCAGCGATGAGGTCAGTTCAACTGTTTGCCCTCAAGTGAAGTGCAGGACTGTAGACTGCAGACCACGATAGTGTGTTTGTGTGTGTGTGTGTTTACCCTGCCGCAGGATCTGCCGGGAAGATAACCAACAAAAAATGCCCCGGTATTTTTGTTGTGATAGAAGGAAATGTTGGGTTTGTGTCTGTCATGTGAGTTCAGAAAGAGTGCAAGTATCTGCTCTTTGCTGTGTATGCCAAGCCTGGCTTTCTGCCACGTGCTAGACCCTACGTTTACAGTTCCAGCTGTGCAGTTGGTAGGGCTGCATGGCTGCAATGGGGCACTGCTTGATTTAATGCCATAAGCAGGTATGGGGATGTTCTTGCTGTTGCCCTCTGCATTTCAGACCGTGGTGCGTGGTGGTTTTGGAGTTGGCTTGGCTTTGTTTAAGTTTGGGGTCTAAAAAAAAAAAATTCCACTTGTTCAAACATCTCTAGCAAATGTAAGTAATCTTTTCCAAGTTTGGTTACATGAGGATATTACAATACAACATCAAAAGAGTTTTTATTTGGTGTAATTAGTGCATTTGAAAGCCCTCATGACCTAGTGTTTATCATTTTAATTTTGAGTCACTCAAATATTTTGAGCAACAAAGTTAAAAAAGTCTTGCAGAATGCAAAAAGGAGGAGACCAATTAGTGCTCTAAAGAAGTGTAATGGGACGCAAATACACGTGCGCTTTAATGCGCGATAGCTTATTTTAATGTGCATTAAAGCATCACAAAAACACCATGCACTTTCACTAATGCACATTAAAATAGGCTAACACACCTTTTTCTGGTACCTCACAACGGAGGTACTAAATTTAATGTGCCCTAGCAAAAGTGCATTAGTGCACATGTAGATGTGCCCATGGAGTTCTAAAAGATACAGAACTTGATAGAGAGACTTTGTGTTTTAATATAAATATTTCAAGAGGTTTCTTTGGAGCCTAATTTAGTATTCTCTAGAAGAGGTGTAGTTCTTTTATGAAATGCTTACAGATTATTTAAGAAGTCATAGAGAAGGGCTTATTTTTCCACTTAACTCCTGTTGTCCCTGTTTGTCCCTAACATGACAGAGACGGCCTTAAAGTTCATTGCTCTATTTCTATTTTAGTGTCATTCATTTGAGCCAGTTCTCAGTTCATGCTTAACATAGATCACAAGAACTGTGGTTTTTTTCCACCCCCAGGATTTTGTGCAATACAAGAATTTGGATTTGCAGTTTTTCTGGCACTTGCCTTGTTCTATTATCCTCAT